GCCCCGAGCCCCCCCACCCCCACCCCGGTTTGTTCGTTTAGCGCCTGGAGGAAGATCCTTCTTTTTGGCGAGTGAACAGGAGGTCGCAGTAGGATGAACTAGTACAACTTCAGCTCAGAGGCGTGCACTGCAGAATACGATGGACATAGGAACTAGGGGCACTTTCATGTTTAAGCCACTTACTGTTTACCCTTATAAAATAGGTTTTGGTCTTATCTAAGGAGACATTCTGGAAAATAGCTTTGATTGAGTTCTCATACGTGATTTTAGTTCTTTAAAAAAGTGTAGAAAAAACCGCACAGGCCCACTGTGCAAAAATTTGTCCCATCAGCCTGGCCTGTTCCCTCTCAGTCTGGACCTCTCAAAGGCTGTCCGCCTTCTGGCTCCCTGGGGGATTGGGCCTAAGCTGGCAGACATCCCTCAGGCAGCACAGGAGCCCTTGGAGGTCGTCCACTTGCCAGCAGGGAGCAGGCCTAAGCTGCAGTCGGACATCCTTAGCACTGCTGAGGAGACAGGAGAGGCTCCCACCATCCTGGCTGCAGCGGTCAGCCTGGCTTGTGGCTGAGCAGACCTCCCCCTGTGGGAGTGCACTGACCACCAGGGGGCAGCTCCTGCATTGAGCGTCTAACTCCTGGTGGTCAGTGTGTGTCATAGCGACCAGTCATTCCCAGTGGTTCTGCTGTTAGGGTCAATTTGGCTATTACCCTTTTATTATATAGAATAGAGGCATGGTGCCGGCTGGTTTGCCCTGAAGGGTGTCCCGGATCAGGGTGGGGGTCCCATTGGGGTGCCTGGCTAGCCTGGGTGAGAGGCTGATGGCTGTTCGCAGGCTGGCCACAGCCCCTAGCCACCCAAGCTCCCAGTGGAGGCTGGCTGGAAGCAGGTATCTGAGATTGATTTATTTTCTATAATTGAAACTTTGTTGCATTTGAGCGGAGGCCACAGCTGGCCAGGCAGGCGGGGAAGCTTGGCTTCCTCCATCATCAAGGCAACCAAGCCTCCTGCTTACTCTAGCTCCATGGCTGCCAGCTGCCATCTTGGTTGGGTTAATTTGCATATAGTTGCTCTGATTGGCTGGTGGGTGTGGCTTGTGGGCATTGCTTGTGATTAGGTATGGTCAATTTGCATGTTTCTCTTTTATTAGATAAGAATTTTAAAGCTAAGTGTTATTAGTGATATTACATATATTACTACATTTGTCTCCTTTATCCTTCATTGGCTTCTCCCTGGCCACCCCCACTCCCCAGCACATACCTCATCTCCTTTAGAGTCTGTGTACATTGGTGCTGTTTATATGCCTGCACACAAGTTTTTTGGTTGATCTCTAGTCACTGGAGGATATTTTTTTCCATGGATTTTTAGAGAGAGTGGAAGGGAGGTGGAGAGACAGAGAGAGAAACATTGATGTGAGAGAGACACATTAACTGGTTGCCTCCCACATGCACCCCAACCCAGGGCCGGGGATCCAGCCTACAACCCAGGTACATGCCCTTGACCATAATCCAACCTGGGACCCTTCAGTACACAGGCTGACGCTCTATCCACTGAGCCAAACCAGCAAGGGCGCACTGTTATTTTTAAATAAACAATGAAACTCTCTTAAACAAGACATTCAGTTGTTGCTTGGGTTTTGTTTGTTTTTTTCAGTACCCTATATGTGAAGCATCTATTCATAGTGTGAATTGGGATTACATGTAGTTTGTGTACTTATTTCAATTTATCTTTTGCTATTAATGTGCTTACATTCAATATTTCACGTTATAAACATTTGCAAACTGACATTCTTTTTCCTTTGCATATTTGTATGTGTGTATATATATATATATGTGTGTGTGTATATATAAATTTCGGTATTGCATATCCAGTGCTCTTATGACCTGAAATCATTTTTATAAAATATGATCCTTTCTGCCATTGGGGAAGAAAATTAATCAAAAGTGTTATTTTTTAAAAAATATATTTTATTGATTTTTTACAGAGAGGAAGGGAGAGAGATAGAGAGTTAGAAACATCGATGAGAGAGAGACATCGATCAGCTGCCTCCTGCACATCTCCTATTGGGGATGTGCCCGCAACCCAGGTACATGCCCTTGACCGGAATCGAACCTGGGACCTTTCAGTCCGCAGGCCGACGCTCTATCCACTGAGCCAAACTGGTTTCGGCCAAAAGTGTTATTTTTAAATAAGGAAATTGTAAGCAATGTTTTAGGATTGTACCACAAGTTAGTATTAACCCAGTAGTAATGTTTTAAATCTCAATTCCTAGAATAAGTCTTTCGTTTGATTCACTTTTTTATAACATATATAATATTCTACTTTTATGGAGGGAAAGTTCATCATCCTTGTAGTTAGCTAAGATGTACGAAAACACCACATTTCTGAATTCAGTTGAGTTAGCCACACTTGGAGTTGGAGAGGCTTCATTGATAGAGATTAAGATACTTCAATTGTGTGGCACAAGTACCCCAGGCATTTCAAAACAAATAGATATTAATGAGGAATGGTATTATTATAGGTGCTTTCTTGGAAGACCTAGAATTTTTGAGCCAGGCAAAATAAGGAATGGAAAAGGAAAAGAAGGAGAAGCCTATAGAGGCAAAGAAAAAGGAATGAACAGAGTGTTTTGGGAATAGAGTTGAGACAACCCTCTCTACCTTACTGGAGTAGAGGGTATTCTAGTAGTAAAAGAGGCTATGTAAAGTGGAATAACCTCAAAATTTATTTTTTTTAGTCTTTCATTTTTAAAAATAGTATTTCTTCTAATTTCTACCTGTACATATAGAAGTTGATTTCACTATCAGGGAGGGGATTAAGGTCATCTGATAAACTCTTCTATAAGTCTCATATTTATATGAACACTAGTGGCCTGGTGCATGAAATTTGTGCACATTAAAAAGGGGATTAATTAGAGGAAATGTTTTAATATTGCTATTTGCCCTTTCTCTATAATAGAAGTGTCAGAGATGAAAGAAAATTAGTAAAATGTATATGAAAATCCTCCTCCTGTCAGAGTCTGGGGCACACTGCGGAGCCCAGAGTCAAGTCTCTGCACACCCACGGCGCCTCAAAATTGCGCAAGACCCAGACCCAGCCGGCCCCACCCTTGTCAAGCTCTGCTGGGAGGGGGCACAGCCTCAGGTCCCCCATCAAGCCCCACTGGGCAGGGGGCGAAGCCTCAGGTCCCTGGTATACACGGGGCAGGGAGCACAACCTGTTTCCCCAACATACCCTCAGGTCCTCCAGTGCTGGGGTGGGGGGGTGCGGCCTGAGGTCCCCCCGCCTGAGCCAGAGGGTGTGCCTTGAGGGCCCCTGGTCCAGTCCAGGGGATGTGGCCTGAGATCCCCTGTCAAGCCCCGCCAGGTGGGGGGCGCAGCCTTAGTCCCCCGACCTGGCGCTGGGGTGGGGTGTGCGGCCTGAGGTTCCTCGGGCCGGGGGGTGGGGGGGCGCCTTGAGGTCCTCCATCAAGCCTCGCATGTCGGAGGGCACAGGCTCAGGTCCTCAGTCTGGGGCGCAGGTTGCAGCCTCAGCCCAGAACCGGGGCCAGAGGGCTGCTCCCTGAGTTCCCCCGTCAAGCCCTGTCAGGCGAGGGGCGCGGCCTCAGATCTCCTGGCCTGGTGCTGGGGGGTGTGGCCTGAGGTCCCCCAGCCTGGCGCCGGTGCCAGGGGAGCAACCTGAGGTCCCCTGTCAAGCCCCACCAGCCGGGGACGCAGCCTCAGGTCCTTGCTGATTGCTCGTTAAGGCTTGTTATGGGAACTCGGCCTCCACTGTGTGTGCAGCCATCTTGCGTTACTGAATCCCTGCCTCCCCTGTGGGTGCAGCCATCTTGACCATTATGGCATGACAGTCAATTTGCATATTCCCTCTTTATTAGATATCACATTTTCCTTACATTTGTCTTTTTATCCTTTTAGTCTCAAAAGCGTTTTTTCCCAAATATAGTTTTTCTGTGTAGTCTGTATCATGATTTTGCTTTCAAATCATTGTTCTATCTGATACAAAAAGCTCTTTACTTTTGAGAATCGTGGAATTTTTAGTATGCTATGAGCATGTAGACAGCTACAGTGGGGCCTTGACTTACGAGTGTCCCAACTAACGAGTTTTTCGAGATCGAGCCATCTCGGCCGATTCTTTGCTTTGAGTTGCGAGCTAAAATTTGGGTTACGAGCCAGCTTCAGATACCCCACCGCTAGCTGGCGCAACGAACATCACAGTGAACGCCACAACATCAGCCCAGCATTCAATTCATTGTAATGGTGAAAATTGATTTGATATACGAAAATTTGAGTTACGATCTCCATCATGGAACAAATTAAACTCGTAAGTCAAGGCCCCACTATAATTATCTTTCCTTTTTTATGTAGAGCTAAATGGTTTTCTTTTTTTACTTTTTTTTCTTTATTGATTAAGGTATGGGTACTTCTCCTCCCATTGTCCCCCCACCCCACCCCACCCCACTCATGCTCTCACCCCCCTAGTGTCTGTGTTCATTGGTTAGGCTTATATGCATGCATACAAGTCCTTGGTTGATCTTTCCCCTTTACCCCCACCCTCTTCT